AGTTACTTGAAAATGCCAGAGATGACTTGCTACATTCTAAGATTTTAAATAAACAGGTAGTAATCCACCTCATGGAATCAATAATGAATACTTCAATAACAAGTTTATGCTTGGCAATAATAGAAGAAAAATGCAAAAACATTTAATTTTTTTAAAATTAAAATTATTCAAGAGCGTTCATGCACTCTATTTATTGTCTGAAGTTCCATTTCTGAATCTGCAGTACTATTCTTGTTCCTTCAGTTTTTTATAAACCTATATATCTAACAATTTGTATGTGCACAAATCTATTTTATTTAAAATTATGAAGTTAACTAACAATTTTTAGCTCATTGTGATTTGAATTTAAATGTATCAGTTGATTCCATGAACTCCTTAGTTGGGCATATTATAAAATACTTTAACACCTGTTTCTGAAATTGAATTGTAATTCACATAGTCCTCTAATGAGGTAACCTCAAGCAGGTTATACATATACATATATATATATATATATATATATATATATATACATATACATACATATACATATATATATACATATACATATACATATATATATATATACATATACATATATATATATATACATATACATATACATATATATATATATATACATATACATATACATATATATATATACATATACATATACATATACATATACATATATATACATATACATATACATATACATATATATACATATACATATATATACATATATATATATATATATATATATATATATATATATATATATATATATATATATATATACACAGCAAGAACATCGTTCTCTGTTATCACATATCATAATGTGATAATGTCACAAATAACAGAAACTTAACTGATAGCACTACAGAATCTAAATGATAGACAAATGTGTTGTTTTTCTTATCAAATTAAGTTTCTGTAAAAATTTCTGACAACCACCTCAGAAAAGAGACATCAATCTAGAAACCACATTTCTCATTGTAACAAATATTTATGTAAATTAACTTGAAAGAAAGTTGAATATTACAGTGGTTCTCAAAGGGTAGGCTATGAAATTACATGGCTGTGCTGTGAAAATAATCCAAAGGTAGGAAAAGGCAGTTAAGTCATGAAAACAAAGAAATGTGTTTTGCATCAATACTATTGTGCAAATATTTGTCATATATTTTCTTGCTACGTCAACATTTCGTGACATGAAATGGCAATGTAAAAACTTAAATCATAACCAGTTAGGCTTAATTTGCGAATATAAGACGTACTCGCATTTTTCCTGAGATATTTTGGAAAACCCTCATATTCGGGTAAATACGGTACTACGCTGCAAATTAAATAAGAAAAAACTGAGAATATTCTCAAGCCTCATCCACAAACCTTCAAAATTTATTTGTATACTGTTCTTTAGAAAAATGTCACAAAAAGTGGCTCACAAATTTGTTCACAAATATGATTTTCATGTTTTCTATACCACACACAAATTGTGACGAAGTCAGAGATTTATAAACTACACTATCACAATTCTGAAGCTAAAAACATAGGCCAGATTGGCAGAAGCTTCAATGCCAGATTAAAATAACATTCGTATGCATGGAAACACAATACAAACAGATTGCACTTTGCTACACATCTCATAAACACAGGCAAAACTTTTCACCCAAACTCAGATATTAAAATTCTTGAAATAGAAAACAAATTCTGGAACAGGAGTGCTTTAGAAAGCATTTCTAAGACGATACGAACGAGACCTCCTCTGATCCCTTACCCGCAGCACCAGAGACATATTTAAATCCCATTTCAAATTTCCCTTTCGTATTGTTTTTAAAAATGTATCTATTTTAATTTCATTATTTGTAATAATTGTATTATCTTGTTTATTATTTTTTAAGATTTTGTACATATTTTGTACATATCTAGACTGATAATGGCAAATCCGTCGTAAAATGTGACTCTTAATAAATTTAAGTTGACAAAGATGACTTCCATTATTTCATACTTGAATAATGTCAACACCACCTCATCACAGGGAGGGGGGAGTGTAGATAAATACTTCTGAAATAATAATCATCTACAAAGAAAGTCATTTAGGTTTCTTCATATTTGAAGGGAGCCAAGTGTGAAATTTTCACAAATGTCATACAGGTGGTTGAAGACTAATATAGGCAGAACATCTGATGTTTTAATATGGATAGGTTTGCTTCTACAATGCATGTTTGTCAATATGTTTGCCAAGATGAAAATGTGTGCAAAAGCTTTAAGAACCACTGGAACAGCCAGTAAAAAAATACTGAATGGCAAAACCTTGGAAAATATTTTTCTAAATGTTCAATGAATTGCAGCGAAACCTCGATGGATTTTTTTAGAAAACTCAGAATCGAAATAAAGATTAAAACAATGAATTTTTGATAATATGGAATGTGCAGGCTTCTCATTCAACACACCTTTCTATTTTGATTAGCATGAATGATTATGATAAATTCATGATTATCATGAGTTTGATTCGCAGTGGTTTTGAATTGGTTTAGTGTTAACGTACAGTTAAGATAATGACTGAAAACCGTTATATGAAACAATAGTAATTTTAATGGAAGAGGGTTAAGAGCTGAATAGATACAATCTGCACTAACGATCTGTCATGCAATGATAACTACTGTTGATCAAACAATTAAATGCAAGTCAAGAAGAGCTCCAAAGTCATTACACTTTGTGGGTTTTTAATTATATTTTATGTGAATTTCACTATAATCATCAACTCCTAATGTAAATATTAAACTCTACATTTCTCGACAAATTGACAAAAAAGTCATAATGTATTGTTCACGACAAGAATATTATTAACTGGACACTTTCTTTGTGACCTGAAATGATGATAACTAATGTTACACAACGGTGGCAACCTATGTGGCAAAGGAAGAAGTAAACATCAGAAGACAAATAATTTTTAAATGAAATGAACAAATTAAATTATTAATACATAACAGTGTATTTTAGATATGCTTCTTTGGTGAAAAAAATTCAAAAAATCTGAGTAATTAAGTATCTCATAAACACTGTAAATGTTTGAATCTGTTACATCTGAACCTTTTATTTTATGTCACTACTCAATGTTAGCAGCAAAAACGGCACACATGTATAAAATTCTGTATTTTTCATTTCACACCGAAAGGCTTCATAAGGTTTCTCATTAATTGTCAAAACAGCTGGACACTTTTGGGAAATAATTTACTCCCCAATTAATATTACTTACACGTTTGTACAATTGTTAAGAAAATTATTTTTAAATTTTGAAACTGAAAACCAATATGCATAAATTATTTGAATACAATGCAACTCTATTAGCAATTTTTTCAAATATTACTGTGACAAGTCACTAAAATGAATCAATAATTGTTACAAGAACAGCAAGGAATTTGTTCCAATGAAGGGCACCAACTGGAAAGTAACTGCAACAATGTGCACTAAACATTTTAAGATGAAGAAGGGATTATTAAATTATTACATGAATAATTTAATTTTCTGATTTATTTCTATTTGGATTTGTACCAAACTAATCAGATAATATTAACAGACTCACTAAACAATATCACAAAAGCATTCATTATTTCAGTACAAGCTTTCTATTAAAATCTTTGAAGAACCTGGAAAAGTTTACTCTCCTCAAAACAGCCAAACTGAACCTCCTCTGTCAAACTGAATAAGCCAAGTGAAAAAGAATATCAACAGTATGATTAAGAGCATTGGCTTAAGAAATCAAATATAATAATTTAAATAATAATAAAGTATCAAAGCACATTTAATTGCTACAACTATTAAATAACTAAAAAACTGACATACTTAAGATTGTGTGCCAACACCAACTTAAAAAAAAGAAAATGCATTCTACAAACTCATGCAGTTTAAAGTGATATTAAAAAAGCAAACTGATGTTGGATTTTGGAGTTGAAAAAATATCAATGATTGGCAAAGTTAATGTATTGTATAAAATAAATAACATAAAAGAAAGATATTAGAACCAAATATGTATACTTACTTGTGTTTCTGTAGTTTGGGACAAAGAGACAGAGGAACCACTTGAAAAAGTTGTTGAAATGTTTAACTGCTCCACAGGACATGTCTGAGAAGTTGGGACTGAGAATGATTGTAACTGCTGAACACCATTTTGTGATTGTGACTGCATCTGCTGGGGTTGTTGCAGTGGTTGCTGGGGCTCATGTTGGGACTGCTGTTGGAACTGTTGGGTTTGATGCTGAGACTCCTGTTGAGACTGTTGGCGTTGTTGTGATTGTTGGAGCTGGAGCTGCAGTTGCTGCTGTTGTTGTTGGAACTGTTGAAACTGAGAACGATGTTGTTCTTGCTGTATATGTGACTGCTGTAGTGATTGTGGAGATTCCTCCTGTTGCTGCTTCAATGAATGCTGATGTTGAGGCTGTAGTGTTGATTGCTGTATTGGTTGCTGAAGTTGTGAGTGTTGGGCTGGTGATTGTTGGAGCTGCATTTGTTGTTGGATCTTTGAATGTTGTGTTGGAAGCTGTAGTTGTGACTGTTGTGTAGGAAGCTGTAACTGTAATTGTTGGGGTGACTGCTGAAGCTGAGGTTGTTGCTGAGTTGTTTGCTGAAGTTGCAGCTGCTGTTGGGTTAGTTGTGAAAGCTGAGGCTGTTGACTTGTTGGTAGGAGTTGAGATTGTGTTTGTTGTTGTGGCTGCTGTGTCTGTTGTTGGTGTTGCAGCTGCTGTTGCGACTGCTGAGTCAGTTGCTGGTGTTGCGATTGCTGAGTCAGTTGCTGGTGTTGCGACTGCTGAGTCAGTTGCTGGTGCTGCGACTGCTGAGCCGGTTGGTGTTGGGGCTGCTGAACTGGTTGTTGGTATTGTAACTGATGTGTAGGTTGTTGGTGTTGTGGCTGTTGTATCGATTGTTGGTGCTGCGGCTGCTGTGTTGGTTGTTGGTGTTGCGGCTGCTGTGTTGGATGTTGGAATTGTGATTGCTGTGTTGTTTGATGAAATTGTGACTGTTGTGTTGGCTGTGAGAGTTGTGACTGTTGGGTTGGTTGCTGGAACTGTGACTGATGTTGACTTGGCTGCTGACATTGTGATGGTTGTGGCTGCAGCAGTGATTGATGTTGCACTTCTTGATATTGCTCTTGGTGGAAGTTGTCTTGTTTCTCTTTAAGAGATTTATCTTTACTTTCTTGATAGCCTGACAGCCCTTCAGTTTGCTGTTCTTGATCCTTTCGTAATTCTTTCAGTTCAAATTTATTTTCTGAAATTTGCCGTTCGTTTTCCATTAACTTTAGTTCTTCCACTTCAGTGGACGCATCTACTCGAGCATTAACTTGTTGCAAAGTCTGTGTTGATTCAGTCACAGTTGCACGGGTTTGTAAATGAGATCGTGTTTCAAGTAACACTTGGGATTGTTGAGAAGATACTTGCAAAAGAAATATCTCCTTTTCTAACGTTTGTGTGCGGGATACATTAAATTTTGTATTATATAATGCTTGGTCACTTGAACTTGTCCTATTGTTTTCTTCCTGTTGTTCATGTACATAATGTTGTTCTTGCTGATGGATGGTGAATTCATTTTCTGAATTCTCTTTTATTTTACTTGATTCTTCTTGACTATGAGTGGAAACTGCATCATATAGGATGGTATTACTAGTATCTATAACAGGCTCATTATCATAGATTTGCTGTTCACAGTAATTGTAGTTTTGAGACTGAACAACATCCCCTTCATCTTGAATTGATCTCTGAGGAAAGTATACTTGCTGAACTTCGATGGCATTCAGAGAATGACATTCAGATTGTTTCAACATCTCACCTGGAGTTTGAACTTCAGGATGGACTTGTTCCTGAAGTTGTAAACCTTGATCTTGCTTAGAAAACTGAGGTTGAGAAATTTGTTGGAATGGTTGTTGCTGCACATTTTGGAGGGACTGTGCATGGAATGGTTTCTGCGGTGCTTGGGACTCAGAGCAATGCAAATGCAACTGTGAGGGCTGGAATGTCTGTTCTGAATAAGAGCAGAATGGCTGTTGATACGGTTGATGTTGCACAGAAGAATATGTGGGATGGACTTGACAGTGCTGTAACAAATGTTGAGGTTGATTCTGTTGATAATATGCCTGTTGAGTCTGTGAACTATTCTGAGAGTCCAAGGCTCCTTGCTGCAAAATGAAATCTTCCTGTTCAGAACTTGAGTCTTGAATTAAATATGCATCTTCATGAGAAGGCAACTCTAATAGCTTCTGCTGAGATGTCTGAGGGTTTGTTTGTACACTTGTGTCAATCCTAGATTGAGCAACAGGTGGTTGAAATTCATGATGTGGATGTGATGGAATATTAAATTCATTTGACTGCTGCTGAGGAATCAGAAATGTTTCTTGTGGTGGGGCTGGTTGTTTTTGATGCATAGGTTGACTATCTCCCTGATGAACCTGGTGCGGCTGAGACTGATCATGTTGGTGATGAGTAAAATGTTGCTGATAGGATAAATCCTTTTCCTGTACTTCATGCTGTAAATCATAAGAATGGGTAGATGTTTGCATAAGCTGTTCAGATTGTAAATGTGGCTGCTGAATATGCAATTGTTGCTGTTGCTGTTGTTGTTGCTGCTGCTGCTGCTGCTGCTGCTGCTGCTGTTGCTGCTGCTGCTGTTGCTGCTGCTGTTGCTGCTGTTGTTGCTGCTGTTGTTGCTGCTGCTGCTGTTGCTGCTGCTGCTGTTGCTGCTGCTGCTGTTGCTGCTGCTGCTGTTGCTGTTGCTGTTGCTGTTGCTGTTGCTGTTGCTGTTGTTGCTGTTGTTGCTGTTGCTGTTGCTGTTGCTGTTGTTGCTGTTGCTGTTGCTGTTGTTGCTGTTGCTGTTGCTGTTGTTGCTGTTGTTGCTGTTGCTGCTGTTGCTGTTGCTGTTGTTGCTGTTGCTGTTGTTGCTGTTGCTGTTGCTGTTGTTGTTGTTGCTGTTGCTGCATCTGTGATGATTTTAATTGTTGCTGTGTCTCGTGCAGCAGTACTTCAGATCCTTGTAGCTGATGAGAGTGAGTAGAATGTTGCGATTCTGACTGCAGGTCTTGATGAGATAATTGTTCTTGGGATGGCATTAGTGGCAGCTGCTGTTGAGACTGCTGAGGATGAGATTGTGTTTGTGTCTGCTGTGACTGCTTCTGAGCTGAGAGCTGCTGATGTGGTTGAGATGGCAGAGCAGAGTGTGGCTGTGACGGAGGCTGCGACTGCTGTGAGGACTGCGAGTGCTGGGAAGGCTGTAGCTGCTGTGACTGCTGTGGCGGATGTGAAATCTGTGGTGGGGGTAAAGATTGTGTTTGCTGAGATGGCACTGATTGGGAAGGCTGCAGGGATTGAGTTTGTGGTTGCTGCTGTTGTGACACATCTTGGCTTTGTAGAGATTGTTGTGGCTGATGTTGGAGTTGAGACTGAGGTTGTCCAGGGGCAGATGATGTTGGTTGTTGTGGTTGCAAAATTTGTTGAACATTTGTCACTTGAGACAAAGTTGGTGGTTGCACTTGGTGCAATAATTGGTCAGACGCTGGAACTGTGGTGTATGTACTGCTTTGTTGGTATACTGGATTGAAGGAAGTTCCTTGATAGCCACCTTGCATGTTGACAGGGTGCTGAAAATCAACATAAAAAAATATTAAGTATATGTGGTATAAAAATAGTTATATGAACATTGCATCATCCAGTTACAAGCACTTAAAATTAATGCATAAATTATTGTGGAACACTCGCCCACTGCAGTTTCTGGGCTAACAGAAGAAAATAATTCATGTGTGCACATTTTCCATTTGAGACTTCAAGCATTACAACTTTGTAATGAATATTTTTTTTAACTCAACAAAAATATTTAGATTTCACTAGCAAGAACATACATTTTATTTACAACACAACATGTGATAACATCAACTCAGTTTGGTGTATACAAATAAACTGAATGTCTTTTGTCATGGCTGTCAAGTAAGGTAATGGCAGCTTAATGAAAAATTATTTGAGTTTCAGAACCTTCTCTGAAAAAAAAATTGTTATTGCAAATTTTCTAAATACATTGCTGACTGGTCACTTACAGATGTGACAATCTTAAACGAGAAAACAAAAAACCAACAAAACAAACTGCCTTTTTCTAAAATTAAATGTATGCCAAGTTCATGCTCAAGATAAACCTAAACAACAAATCTTACATGTATTCACACCTGTGCAAACAATTTCATCCTCCAGATCAATAATGAGGATATGTGAAAATGGTTTCTTTTGTAGATTCACATTGTATCAGAAAATAATTACAATAACAATACCAGTGAGACTTTGGTTTTAGAATACTTGACACCTTAAAAAAACTGTTATGTTCCTATTTGAATGCAGAGATTTGTGTAACCAGTGACAAATTAAAAAAAAGCTCATAACATTGAAATATTCATTAAATGTAAAGAGCTTTTTATATCCTGGAACATTTTAATGATTTATTTCATTGTATTTCTATGAAAATAATTCACAACGAAGGAACATATGCATTTGTTTTTTGTTTTTTTCCCCAATTCATCCAAATGCAGAAACATATTTTCTTTTGTGCATTGAAATACACTGAATTGAATGTAATTTTCAAAATCTAATAGAAGAGCAAAGCCTCTTTGAATAAGAAAACTTTCAGTTAAAATAATTGGGACGGTTTTTGAGAAAATGTCATTTGAATGTTTTAGAAAATGCACCATTCTGAGTTTGCTTAAACTAGAAAATTTTGGGATTTCAAGAAATTTCATAAAAGTTCATTTGAGGCAACGAATTAATAATATTATAAACCACATCCTTAATGTAACTAAGAACGCAACATGAAAGGAAAAAGTGTAGTTAATGACAACTGAAAAGTTTTAAAGAAAATGGCAATTGCATTATGTGGTTTAGTGCTAAGAGCACTATATAAGCAAAAAGTTAAAAGAAAAATTTGGAGTCACTTTTAGAGAATATCTTGTTTAGGTATTTTATTTTTAATTCAATTTTACAAATTCCCCAAAATATGTGCATTGTTAATACATTTCCCCTCATCAGAAAGAAAATTATTCTATTTTTTATTTTTTCGTATCATTACTCAAAGATAAAATTCTAAAAACATTATGAGACATAGTTGACATTTATATGAATCTGGCAATAATCTTTTCAAAAAAATTGGCGGGAAATTCAATTTTTAAAAAATTATTAAATCGTCATATGTTTCTTTCTGTTTTATTTTTGAGGTGATGCCACCAAAAAATTCCTACAATTTGGGGTGTTCTTTAATACTGAATTTCTGTTGTTGAAATTTCTCTTATTGGTGCGTCAAATTGGAAAAAATTAATAACTCTTTTCTTTGTCCTTTATACATGTATAACTCATAATAAGTTAATTATTTTTCTATGGAAAAATTCTTTTCAGGACAAAAATCATATCATTATACCACACAAAAATATTGTGGATCATCTTAAGAGCCAAATTCAAATTTTCAAAAATAAAACAATTGAAAACAATCAATTTTATCATGTTTTGCGACCTGTTTTGATGCCAAAAAAAAAAAAAAAAGTAAAAAATTGTATTGAAATTGAATGCACCCATATAACATTGTAACTGGAATGCGCTTATCTTGATGGCCAAACATCACCAATGTAGAGTACTCTTCGCTATACAACAGGGCCTACATCCCGTAAGTTTTTCAGAGTTTTATCTCCAAATAATGGTATGAAAAAATGAAAAAAATGAAAGTTTGTATTTTTTTTTCGATACCTTGCAAAATGATGAGGCTGTCGTACTGAAATTTGGGGAAAATGATTATCAAAATAACATTAAACATGCCCTCTATTCAAAATTGAATTTGGCTTGGGAGCACTTATACCTTCTCTACCTCTCCCTATCCTGCTACAGCCTTTGGCATCTAATTTTGCAGCATTACATATAATAAAAAAATGAGAAATTGAATTTATTTTAATCTGGTATTTTCTAAAGCACATTCATTGAAAAAACATTATAAACCATCATTAACACTCCCATGAAAGAAGGTTTTTTGAGTTTATAGGAGTGGTGTGTCATACTGAAATAAAAATAAAAACACTTTTCGCCATAATATACTTGTGTAGAATTAAAGTTTATATCATATAGAATTACAATTTTGCCAAGGAAATATTTGTCAGTTGGAATGTTATGATATTTAGATAAATGCATAGATAGGTTAATTAAATTTCACTCAGAAAATAATTTTAGCAAGAGAAATGGCTCCAATTCAGTTATTTAAAAATTTTAAATGTCAGAAGTTTCACATCTACAGTTTGTTTCAAAGTCTCCAAATTTTTGCAAGCAATAGAAATCACAGAAATAAGTTTTATTTTCACTTCTAATTTTCCCATTACCCTTTTTCACAGCACAATAATACAAAATATCTTTAACCCTTAGATGCACCACATGGGTCTAACAAGGTCTGGGAGATATTTTTAACTTTCGTACTTTTACATATTTTTTAAAATATTTATAAAAAATTAATTTCTTAAGCTATCAGCTTGTAATAATAGACTTGCCACTAAATTGTAGGAAGAATTTAGAAATTTTAAAATACTTGAACGTATCTACTACACTTTCCCATCACACAGGTTTGTTTGATTTTACACAAAGTAAAATGTTTTGAACATTCATTTTTCAAGTGTATCTTCAACAAAGTACTTTGCTCAGAAAATTATTGACTTGTTGACTCATACCCAAATCGAGGTATATGATTCCGCACCTATTGTGTTTAATGCACGTCACATAAAACAACAATAGCATACCATCTGACTGGAAAGAAGCTTTAATAGTATTGATTTACAATGGTAGAGGACACTGTGCAAGCGTGGTAAACTACAAGCCTGTGAGCTCAACATCAATTGTATGCAAAAAAATGGAACACTTGCTTAGACACACATTTAATAGCAGAGTACTTACGAAATCTCTGAAATGTCAGGTTGGATTTTTGAGGGACATGGTTTCTGTCAGAGTTATCTCGTGAAAGTCAAGTCAGTACTGTACGTCAGGACATAGCAGACAGTTCAGATGCTGATGAACAAATTAACACTATAATAATAGATTTCTCCAAAGCCTTTGATTTAATTCAGCATGATAAGACTTCTCAAGTAACTCACTGTAACACGCATGGATTAAATAATTCTTCCTTGGATAAAGAAGTTTCTAAGCAGGCACACTCAGAGAGTGAAAATTAATGGCAAACTCTCATCAAAATCAGAGATAACAATGAGTGTCCCACAGGGAAGTGTGCTAGAGCCTCTCTTGTTCCTGGCTTATGTAAATGGCATACATGAGGGCATTGAATCTACTATTCATCTTTTTGCGGATAATTGTATAATCTACAGGAATGCTAGGGACATGAAACATGTCGAAACATTGAAAAAGGATCTAGATCGCTTTGAAAAATGGTCAAGGACGAATAACATGAAAATAAAATTCGCAAACCGCATAGTTAATTAATGGAATAACTTTTCACAAGAGTTCATCTCAGCAAGCACTGTATACCAATTTAAATTACTACTCTTGCCTCTATTTGTGATTTTAGATTATAAACCATTAGCGTTTATTGCGCTATAAATGAATTCAAACTTTGTTAAATATGTTGTAGCTATATCAGGTTTTTGCTGCCATTTGTACAAATACATAAATAAACCCAGAAAAGTTGAAAATATTTTTTTTCTAGGACTCAGCAAAGTGTAAATGTAACTTACAAATTAAGTAATTATTTGATTCCTGTTGTCACTAGCTGCAAGTACCTAAGATATCATTCTATGCCATGACACGAGTTGGGAAGATCAGGTAAATCACACCGTGAAGAAATCATAAAGACCAATATTTTGTAATGCATACTTTGAAGGCTAATTTTAATATCAACACACTGGCATACACTTCCCTAGTAAACCCTATTTTAGAATAGAGGACAATATGATAGGATCCCTTCAAACCAGCGCAAATTCAAAAGCTAGACAGAATTCAGAAAAGAGTTACAAAATTCTCTGGTAACAGACTCGCTCAAAATGAATTACGACCATTATCAAATCTCAGAAAGGTGGCTAGATTTCGTTCTTTATATAAGGCATATGTAGGTTTCCCTTTGTGGAATGAAATTTGGAACATGCTACTAAAACCGATGTGTTAAAATAGAGGAGATTATAATTTTAAAACTTTAAAGACCAATGCAGCAATCTGATACCAGGAAATTCTCCCTTGTAAATCAAACATAAATAAATGACTGGAACTATTTATCTACTGAAGCATTTGGCACTGGCCAAGAAAGTATTTATACAGTTAGGAAAAACTATAGTGATATAAAATATGTATGAAATGAATTGTGCGCCTTGCATGGTATTGTCCCCCCCCCCCATTCCTATGTTAATGTGTCTCAATGTAACAATAGTCACTTTATGTACATTGTAATACTTCTTAGAAAACTATTACTGGGAGTCAAACTAAAGAGATCAAATCTATCTATCTATATTTCGGCAGCCATCACTTGCAATTGGCACTGGGAAAAGAACTGTTTTGCATTTGGCTTTCATGAAGAATTCACCCTTTGTTTTGCATGTTTACCCGAAATGAACAAAAGTCTTGTTTTCATTAG